TAAGTTAGATCCGTATCTCTTGAAGAGCACGCTGGGAATATATTATAAAGTTAATCATTCAAATTGTTCAGAATTAGTCACTAGGCCGTCCGGGGTTATGCCGCGTCGAAGACTGTGTTGTTGGCCTGTGTTGTTAGCCCAGATCACGCACATGACTCTGGCCGCGAAAAGCCAACGACTTCAAATCCTACAATAAATGCTTAAGAACTGGGAATTATTTTTACGTACTGGGTACGTTCTCTTAAAAATTCTTTACATACAGCATTTTATGTACACTTGCCTTTTTTATGTTCGGTTATCCGAATTATCGAATATCCGAACTATACCTGGTGCCAATTGGTACGGTTAAAGGACTTTTCACTGTACAACTATTGTTTGTCTATTCGATGATCAGGGAAGTCAATATAACATCTTGTCATTTCCAACCAACATGTAATTGTAAATGCATAGCAGTGTATAAATGAGAGACAGAACATGTTGGCATTATATACCCGCAGTTGAAGCTCCTTAGACAGGAAGCCGAAGTACCTCAGCTTCCAGCGTTGACGTTGAAGGATTTCCGACGCAGCAGCTCTGTTGATTCATTTTCATACTTTCTCATTATCATTTGAGCTTCTGTCAAAGTGATGGATCACGGAGAAATGCACTTTTTCAGGCTGGGAAATTATTCAAGTTCTGCATTATCGTCAAAGATAAGATTCAGCGGTTTTTGAATACCATTTAACTGGAGAAATGTCATTTTTGACATTTCTCCAACAATTCTTTAACAAAATTGGGCAGCGTGATGGAACAGCGTCATGAGAATGTATTGGTATGTAAAACTTGAAAATAAATGAAAATGACGGTACGTCATCTTGAAAATACGCTCTTCAATCAATTACTGATACCGTGGCATCCCTTTCAACACTGTGTCATGAGAACCGTGACAGAGAAGAGAGAGAGAAAGAGAGAGAAGAAAGGGAAATATACAGGGGAGAGACACAGGAGGAGGGGAGAGAGAGAGAGAGAGAGAGAGAGAGAGAGAGAGAGAGAGAGAGAGAGAGAGAGAGAGAGAGAAAGAGAGGTAAATTACCTTTCCCCCCTCTCGTAGCCCAGTCGCCTGCAGCTAGTGAGTACCTGCATTTACGTTGCGGTCATTTACCTCCCCTCCTCCTCCCCCCTCCGCGTGCCGTGCCATTACGCGCGTCCCCGCTTCGAAGCCTGGGGCGGCCTCCTGCGAACGAGCGCCCTCCGAGGCGGGCGGGTGGCTTGCACCTGGCTAGCACGCGCGCGCTTGTCGCCTCTGCTCCGAGCACGCGCGGCCAACGATGCGAGGCGGCAGGCGCGCGCTCACGGGCTTCTCGATTGATTGATTCCGGACGCGTCAAGTGCTAAGGTCATTAGTCCCGAAATTGTTGTGCATGTTAGTATCGCGGAAGGTGGCAGTGAATTTCCCAAGCTGTGTAGTGAGATCCCCGTTCGCTAGAAGGGTTCCCCACGTATCTCCTAGCCAGGACAAAATCTGAGCTCCGGAATGGTCTTCTGACATGTGTGGTAGTGTAATGCATGTAAGTGTGTGCGTGAGGAAGGGGTGAGAATAGGAAGGAAAGATCGCGCGAGGACCGTGACCGTTTGTTAGGGTACTGCTCTGGCATTCGCCTGGTATTAATAGGAGAAACCACGGAAAACTATCAGTTGGCAGCTAGGATTCGCCTCCAGGCAATAGCTGAATTCGACTTGGATAAGTAAGTAGTGCCGCGCCGTCGGGACTCTAGGAACCCTAGGATCTCCCGGTCAGAGGCACTGCAGTGACATCCATTGATGGGTTGTTGAATTGACGAGTCACTTATGCTGGTAATGGGTTCTCGATAAGAAGGAAAATAAACGTACTCTCAGAAGCATCCCATCAAAACAAACAACAGAGAAAGGAGGCGGAAGAAAACAGAGAGAGAGAGAGAGAGAGAGAGAGAGAGAGAGAGAGAGGTGGGGTGAAAGAAGAAAGAAAGAAAGAAAGAAAGAAACTAGAAAATGTTGAATAAGATTTAATGGGATATAATAAAATATAATATGAACAGAGAATGATTTTTTTCAAAAACATTATTTTTATTGGAATGCCTTTCTGGATGATTTAAATACAATTTGCATATTTTTGTTATTAATATCTATCCCACATTCCCAGTTTCTATAGTTAAAACGAATAAAGTATTTGCCAAAGGACTTGACTTTCGGAATGACCTTAAGCCGAAATGACAGGCCATTAATGACCTTAAGGGTTAAATTAGTTATACTGAAGAAATTGTGTACGAAAGTTTCGGGTCTGTACTGAAATCCCTTCAACAAAGATACCTCTGAATATTTCTCTTTCCGCGTGCCACCGATGCCTTTACTAGTCATGAGGCATCAACTTTCGGAAGTAGTTTTCGGAAGAAGTAATAGTATTTCCGTGTCGGAGTTTTTATGGTAACAGGTTTATTTGAACACAAAGGGTTGTGCAATGCTTCTACACCCCTGTTTTGTTCTTTCTAATAAAACTCGGTTTATTAGTTAAAAAAGAGAATAAAACAAGCATTAGTTCAAGTTTAAAGGTGGTTAATTTGCATTAAAAATTAAAAAGGACAGGTTCATCAAGAACCTCCGTGAATCGAGTAAAATAGCTTTATGAATTTTCTAAATTTCGAATACTGGAAAAGTCATTGTAAATAAATTGGAAGAAGTGTGAATTTCCCTTCCCTTGGCATAATTTGTAACCTTGATTTCTCAAACCTGCATGGAAGCAAAATTAGGTTTTCGAATATAGCTATTACAATTGCTGAAATCCAAATGTGTAAAGAAAGTAATGGAAATTCGGTGTATCATGTCACTTGATTTCGTCTTATCATTGAACTAAAATACTAGACAAATACGTATTTTCAAACCCAAAGAACGGTCATACAATTTAGAAACACACAGATACGTACAGAAAAATATTTTTATTTTTGAGATAATTCCAATGAAATTATTATTATATTGCCGTATGTAAGTGAGGATATATTTTAATGTTTTCATAGGGACAGGTAACGTGTTAAACTATTTCCTCTTTACTATAAGACCCTTTCTTTTTGCAGGTAAGGTGCAGCTCGTTACCAAAGAGTGACTGAATGAGCCAATGTCTGCAAGGAGCATTTAAGTAACAAAGAAGCGTGGTAAGCACAAGATGCACATAGAGCATTCGATTGTTTTTGGTATTTTTTTAAACATGAGGCAATAGAGCATAAATTTTATTTATACGAAAGGTGATTGTAATATTATTATAATTATTATTATTGTAATTGCATTAATTAATATTATTACTATTCAATACCTGAAAGCAACGATGGAGTCGTGTAATCATGCATTCTAACATTAAACCCCCAATAAACTCTGCAAATCTCAAGATTTTAGCGTACAAATTACGAAAAATCTTGACAGATTAGCTTTAATTTATACCAAATCTGTTTACAATATGTTCAAAATAAATTTCTTCCATTTAACATAGACAAAATTGTGTTTACCAATGGTTTATATGCTCACGTTTCTGGTTAGTCACTAAATATTTTATATTACCCACAAAATATCATAGATATAATTCTTTTGTTTTATGCAAGTAAAATATAATGCTGTTCACCACTATAACTAGGGAAGGAATATCATTTTATAGCTTCACGACGCCAACATTTTTCCCCTACGTTACACGCTTAAGAACTCTGTCAAAAGTAGTTAGACAAGAACGATTAACAGGTTGTGTTTCCAGCTGTAGAAGTGTTCATAAAAACACTATTAGAGGAATTATAGCTTTCGGAGTCAAACAATGCAGTCGCTACTGCAGCTAAATAGTATTTGCTTATCATTATAGTGCTCAAGTTTTAATTACGGTATTGTTTGCACTGAATTATATGTGTTGCAAAGGTGGTTAAAAACAAAAATGGATGGAAGAAACAATCCGTTACTCCGGTGATGGCTTCTCGGTTACGTAAGTGGCTGGTCAGGGGTTTCTGTGTTGCAGGGCTTCACAATTGAAAAATCTGAACGTACAGATTAAATATTAAGTTAATACAGAACACAATAGAGGTATACGTCAAAAGCTTCTTCTTCTTCTGTTTTTTTTTCTTCTTCTTCTTCTTGTTTTTCTTTTTCTTCTTATTATCATTTTTACTGTAATATTACCAGTGGTTCCTATGCAAATTACTTGCACTTATCACAACATATTTTTTATCTCATGGATCATATAATCACATATTTACTTCACTCTCCATGAATTGTTCTCTCGCTTCTAAGAAGGGAATGACAGTACTACAATTCGTTGCCTCCGCAGCAACTCTGCTGTGCCTTGTTAGGTAATGTAAAACACATCTTTTACACTACACGTTGCATTTTTTCAACATTTTTTTGTTTGTAAATGAGTCCTTTCACTTGGTGAAACGGCAAACACCGATTAAAATTTTGCCAAAATTCTCAGATTCGCGCGTGCGCCACTACCCTGCGCGCCCAGGAAAATGAATAAACATAATCAATCGCAGGTGATAGAGACGTCCTATAGTATCCCATTTATTATCTTTTAAGACGCGTCTGCAACTGAAAAGTATTTTGTCGTTGGGCGCATTCACTTTTGTGCATCTCGACAATACCAGCTCTCCCAGAGAAGCAGCTGTCACAGATAGCTAACCCTTGACCCATCAAGTAGTATTAATAGTAGTAGCAATAGCAGTGTGATGTAATGTGTCTCTTTCATTTTCCAATGCACTTCTGTGGATTTCATTTGCAGGGAAAAACACTAATTTAAAAAGAAATAAAAACGGCGCCTTCTTATTGCAGATGAGAAACCTAGTGCGTTGCTCTCCTTTAGCGAATTCTGCCAGGAGTGCCGTTATATTGTATACGTCCTCCAGCCATGGGTAACGCTCGTTAGAGAACACGATGCGACTAGTTATTTATGTATAAAGCATGGCAGCTGTCACAACAATTTTTTCAGAAGAAATAATATTGACAGTTTCTCAGTTTTATAGTACCTTCCTGATTTCCATATGGCTGGCTCTTTTACTTTATTTGTTTGGCAAGGATTGGAATCTACTCCTGCAAGCTACCTGCAATAAAATATGCACATATGCACCCATACCAACGCCTTAGCCTAAGCGGTCCGTTACCTGCTTACCCTTGAAAATAATAGTTTGACCGCTACGCGCTGACGCGATGAATTGGTTTGGTCGTAAGTGCACGTATCACTTGATTATTTCGTTCTCGAATGAGGAATGCTCTGTGCAAATCCGCCGAGAACCTTACAATATTACGTTTAAAACATTATGTATTAAATCTTATAGAAATCTTAAATATTATACGAACCACAGATCTCGTGAGAACTACGATCCTACATTTTGGGAGAGGACATTTTTAAACATCGATCATCCGAGTTCGATAACAGTAAATCCAAAAAATGCACGTTAGATGCCTTTGAATGACAAAGTCTTTGAAAGATTTTTATTAACGAAAACCTAAATGTCTATCTGCATTGCAATAACTGTCGCGTCCGAATGGACTCTACTCCAATATCTCATCGAAGTTAAATGTTCCTGACAGTTGAAAAATCAAAAAACTGAATTTCCTGAAATTCTAAATTTTAGTGAATGAATAGCGTTATGATTCTTTAATTGTAAAAAATTAACATTAATTGTGTCGAATTAAACAAAGACTTGTTCTTGAAATTTACATAATTATACCTCAGGACCGACACTAATAGCCGTTTTGAGATACCTCTTCTTGAAGCTTCCTATAGTCAACTCATTTCATAATAATAGAACTTAATTATATGTTCGTTTTTTAGCTGGATGTCTGAGAGGTACATGGATGGAATGCCATTTTCGTTGATTATTAAACGCGTGTGAATATGTACCTGGCACTTCTTCGTAAGTATATTCTAATGCAATGGGGCGTAGGGTAATTTAGGATGACGTAACGTCCATACGTTACGCAATGCGCAACGACGGTGGAAGTTAGTCTGTAGGGCTCATTCAGTGACCCTACCCTTTTCAGACGGTTAATGGTCTTGTGAGCGCGTTACACATCCTGCGAAATGCCAACAGTGAGACAATAAGAATCCACAGAGCGAAATGGGACCACGAAAACAATTTCTCGCGGAATAATAACTGAATTGATTGCATGACAAAGCAATATGCGAGTGTAATACTAGTACTTCTTGGATGTTGTTTCCTCTTTACACTGTGTGAATACAGTACTTCCTCTGTGTTATTTCCTCGCTAAAGAGTTTAGATATACAAAATTATTCAGACACATTGTGCTAAAAAATGTTATATGTGACTTCATATAGGATTTAAAAAAATGTCGAGTCCATACTAATAGATTGCAAACGAATATTCATGATAAAAGCCAAAAATGTTAATGAATCATTTGACATTTATATAACGTGTCGTTTAAGTAGGGTGATATAATGGTATTATTATCCTTTATTTTATCTCCAGTTAGTTTATACCCACAAGTTTGGAAATAGAGAGCAGTTGGATATGGCGTGAAACCAGTAGGTCCTACCATTATTCATCTGAGCTCCGGGATTTTCCGAAATACTTTCATAAAAAATTGTCCAAATCCTCTGTTCAATCGAAATAACGGGAAGTGTAAAACATTGAGTTATTCCGAACAGCGAATATTTTGCGAAGAGTATTAAAGTCCCCTTCACATTTCCTGGATCCTTACGAATCAGGTTTCAACATGGAGTATATTTTATATTTAACCGACACCTAACAGCTTTAGTCAGGTATTTTAGAAATAATAACAATAATAATAATAATAATAATAATAATAATAATAATAATAAAGAACAAGAATTCGTTAGTCTCTGAGATAAAGATTTTTTCTGAGGAACTTTCATTTCACACGCTTCGGTTATGGAAGGTCTTGCATTGTTTTGTCCAAGGCGGCGTAGTTTCTGTCGTACGTCCAACGCAACTAACCCTTAACCTCTTCAGCGCGATATCAAGTGATCAAACCGCACGTCTTCCGCCCACTTCAATCCACTGGATCAATTGTAAGTGTCCTCCGTGGCCTATCAATGATCACCATTAGCATTCATTTCCTTTTTCACAATAATACTCACGACACGACCCCAATAAAACAACAGCGTTGGAGATCATCGCCCTCAACATACTGAATTGGTATACAAAATTTTGAGGAGATTTAAAATTAAAATTTGAGTATTATTGTTGAAACAAGTAGCGAAAATTTGTAAATTATTCTTGTCCAATTTGTTATATTAAGTGAAACATTACGAAATGAGATCTGTTTCATAAAATGAGTGGTAGTACAATGTTAAATACAATGTCACATAATATTTTACACTAATTGCATTGCTGAGGCTAACAGTCTGGGCGCAAAATATGTACATCTCACTATTATCAAAATATATCAAATACGTAGTATTCCTGAGAAAACAACACTAAGTCCGGTGCACCAAAAATCGATCTGCTAAAATTAATTCATTGTAAAAATACATCATTCGATAGTGAAAGAAATTCGTGCCGCTTGTTGGTCAGATGTCTTCTGCGAACTTTCTGTTCCTCCCAACTTAACGACCGAACATACTACCACTATTTCTCCACATAACGCTCTGCGTTTTCATGTAATCAGCCTCACGCTCTTGCAAAATTACCTCTGAATGACTAAAAGCGCACGTCTCCAGTGCCAAGCAGTTATATTTGATTGATTTGTTATTCCTAATTAGTTAATTAGTATGGAAGTGTAGCAGATGTCTTTATCGCGGGAAATGGCGGTGACCTTTCCCCGCACATGGCGACCGTGTTTTAGATTTTGCCGATTGACGGGTTTCTGAAATAAACGATTCAATCTAAAAAAAATGGTGAGTAAATCAGTAGTATTTTGTCATTTGCTTCAATTTTTTTCCACTGGTAGGAGAAGAGATGCTTAAAAAAAGGTGCGAGTCTGATTTTCGTTCAACTCTCTGAATTTTCAAAAATTGCAAATTTAGAATTAATGCTAGAAAGTATTTGCTGTTGTAGCCCCACTACTTGCCATCCGCAGGGCCAAGCCACGGAACTGACTGACCTCGTGGCGTCTGTCACTTCATTTCCTCGTCTGTCACCTCGGTGGTGAGCGCGCGTCGCAAAAATTGTAAATTTCTTGAAAGTGCAGTGTTTACACGCTTGCACACTTATGGGGTTTTCCCCAACCAGCCACCGTCCTCCAGCGCCCCAGCCGGGACAAGCTCTAAGCTCCCGACTGATCTCCAGGCAGGTGTGGTAATGCAGTGCTGGTAAGTGTAAGCATTTAAAAGTAAGGGGTGAGGAGAGGACAAAGAAAAGGAAGGGAAGATCGCGCGCCGTTCGAAGCCGTTTGTTCGGTTTCTGCTCCGTCATTCGCTTGATGTTTATTGGAGAAACCATAGAAAACTACTGATTAGAACAGTCAACTATTAGAATTCACCTCCATACATTGGCGCTGAATTCGTCGCCCTGCAGTCGCGTCGACCTTTCGGTTCTGCCTCTTTAAATTAAACGCGCTCCTGTGTCCAAGCTGGAAGGTCTATCGACCGAGAATGATCTGGCCATAGTGTCCGATTCATATCGATGTCACAAATTAAGAATTTTGAGAAATTATTTTTATTTTATACCATTTGATTATAAAAAATGTTAACCAGCGGCGAACCAGGATGTTTCTATGAAAATTGTATATTTTTATGTGTGTAGTGTCCAACCGTTTTGTTCTCTTCTTACATACTGATGATTCTTGATAATTCATGAATATTTTTTCTAATTCTATTTACGACAATTTTTTAATACGAATTCTTCTAGTTTCTATTTAATAAGCGCATTTTTTAACTGCTAGTATGTTTTCTCCAATAAAAACCTCATGGAAGCATTCTTGCGTCTTTTATCCTTCACTTATCGAGCTACCAGCGACAATGTCGCACACACATTTCTTCGCTTGCCTCCCATGTTGTGATATTGAATACGGCTATTCAGGGCCGCAGGGGTAAGAGCAGGAATATAACTGACCATTGTCGTAAAATCGTGCCCGCCCCTGTCGTAGAGTTTTACAACAGGGATTTCTTGCTAAAAGGCAAAAGGTGAGGCATAATTAAGCTTCGAGGATCTCAACTTTTTTGGTGAAGGTCTTAACCTCAGTCGTGCTATCGTCGTCTCGACAGAAAAAATGTGTTCGCGGCGTACTCTGGCAGGCCCCTTTCAACTAACCAAGCAATGCTTTAACGCATCACCTCGGTCGTTACAGCACCAGGCCTTATAAGGCCTCAGTTGCCTCAATATTCCTAGCTGGTTGCGGAACAAAAAATGCGAAGTTCGCCAATAAATGCGAGCCTTACTAATGACTAGTAATTTCTAAGTTTGTTATTACTCTTTGCGTAACTGATATCATTCGTAAGAGAAATAGTCATTTAGTACCACGCGTGTACTTGCAAGTTTCCAGAACAAAATCCCCTCGCCTCTACGCGACGGGTGAACTGATCAATAACTTCGCATGCACTCGTATAATAGACGAGTATTATTTCCTAAAAAGACACATATTTTGCTAAACAAATCTTGTCAAAACCGTCGCAATCGAGGCACGGCAAATCGATCGCCGCGAAGCGAAGTCGGCGGCCGGGGAATGTAGGGCGCGCGTCGTCAATGGGCGGCCGGAGCCACTGGTCCACGCTCTCGTAATACGGCATAACAAGGCACCTCCGGAGAACGTCGCGAGAAAGCGAGGGAGCGACTTTCGGAACCGGCACTACTGCCACTGCCGCCGCCGCCGCCGCCATCAGCGCAGACGGAATTACCTCAGGCAGCACCAGACTCACCGTTCACCGCCCTGCGCCCAAGTCGTTGACTCTCTTGCTGCAACTGGAGCGCCGCCCCGCGGGTCTGGAGCCAATCACCAATTTGGATTCAGGGCTGCTCCTATTAACGTATAACAAAGATTACTGGATTGTGTTCAGGTGCATAAAACATTGAAAACTAGGACTTTAGTCAAAAAAGGTGGTGCTAAATTTCGTTCAGCAGGAGGATAAAAAAATAAATCCTGGCTGGTGCTATGTGTAACAAAAAAAACGCAGAATGGCATTATTAAC